TGTGTGTGACTGTCTGCCTGTGACTGTGTGTGTGACTTCCTGCCTGTGACTGTGTGTGTGACTTTCTGCCTGTGACTGTGTGTGTGCCTGTCTGCCTGTGACTGTGTGTGTGACTGTATGCCTGTAACTGTGTTTGTGACTGTGTGTGACTGTCTGCATATCACTGAGTGTGTGTGTGTGACTGTCTGCCTGTGACTGTGTGATGCTGCCTGTAACTGTTACAGTCTGCCAGTAATTGTGCGGGCTACTGCCTGTAACTGTGTGTGACTGTCTGCCTGTGATTGTGTGTATGACTGTGTGCGAGTGACTATGTGCCTGGGACTGTGTGCATGTGGCTGTATTTGACAGTATATGTGTATAACTGTGTGCATCTGACCATGGGCGTCCGCAGGAATTTTTCCAGGGGGGGGCATAATTGTAATGACATCCATGCTTGGTACCTTTTTGACAGTGTCATGAAAGGGAAGGGGCATAGCCATTATCACATAAAGCCAGGGTGAATAGTGTTTTCACAACTATGGTGTTAGGAAAATATGTTTGTATTCCTGACACTATAGTGTTCCTTTAAGCAAATTAAAGGACATTTCTGGTCACCATAACAACTTCACCTAAATGAAAATGCTATGATGCCAGGAAGCCCCTGGGTGCTTGCTTTCCTTTAAGGGGTTAAACTGCTCTCAAATGGTTTAACCCCAAAGGCTTCCTCCAGCTCCAGGTCGCTCAGTGGTATTTGGCTGCTGAAACAGAGTGTCAGGAAGTGCAGATTGACGTCAGGCATGGGTGCCGCTGATTGGCTAGAGTGGTCAGTTGACGCTCTAAGCCAATCGCTAGTTCCCGGTTCATAAAATATTTTTACTTTTTTATGAATGTGGAGCTACTGATTGGCTTAGAGTGCCAGCTGACCACTCTAGCCAATCAGCAACACCCCTACCCAACGGCACTCTGTGCTTTCTGACACTCAGTAAATAAAAGTGAACACATTAATACTGATATTTTTTTACCTTTGGAGATGAGAAGGTCCAGCGTTTCCCTGCCAGGCCCAGGTACCAAAGCCTTATGATGTGGTGTCCAGAATAAAGTGGAGGTTCACTTCATTTGTCCTTCCTGCTCCAATCTCCTTTTCCTCTCCTTCATTTGACAGTCTTTTTTTTTTTTTCTGACACTGTTTTCTATCCTTGGCCCCTTCTGCTCTTTTACCTTTCTGCTACTTTCTGCTTATTTTGTGCCCTTCTGCTCCT